GAATCGTCGATTTACTTCCTCACTTAAGTTACATAAACGGTTTGGGTTAAAAGTGCAGATCTTAACTGTTTTTCGAAAAACCGTTTATGTAACTTAAGTGAGGAAGTAAATCGACGATTCTGTTGTCCTCTGAGCTATTTTTTCGCAAACATGTACATTTTCTAAAACATATGATACTGATGCACGCTGTGAGAAAAAACGTCTTTGGGATTCTGCCTAGAACGCGTGAAATAAGGAAAAAAGAAAAATCGTGCCTTCGACGTTCCGACATTTTGTTACCAAAACGGTTCGTTTTGGTAACCAGCGTAATCGAGTGGATCACCAGTGATTTAAAGGCTTTCATTAAATTAAGCTGTACTCGGTCGTATATATGTCGTATTTTACACTTCAAAAAAAAATTTCCCATTGACTTTACATGGGGCACCTTTAGCGATTTTGAGTTTTCAAAACGCCATAACTTCCGATGAGTGTTGGTTTAATGATATTGCAGTTATACAATGCTATTATATAGAGGTTATTTACTGAGAGGGATTCAATATTGGTTTTATTCCGGGAGACATTATGATATTTCCCGAGGGCCCAGGGGGAATCTGGGATTACTGTACCCCTATCAATTTACCTTTTCGGGACCTAAATCCTATTACCTACCTTTTTACTCAATCGGGGAGAACGAATCCAAAGAGAACAATACTTCTACATGTGCGCCGTGCAAAATTTCCAAAAGCTCGTCGTGTTTACCGAGAACGAAAGATGTTTGTCCACCATTTTGAATGATACTAACTGGTATCAGGGTCATCAAGCTATGGAACAGGTGTTTATGAAAATAGATTCTGGGTTACTATATGCTTCCAATGTTAAAGGTGATTGAACTATGTTATAAAACAACTTCCAGTACATTATGATATTTATAAGTATAAATTTTTGAAAATACATATAAAGAATCTTTGCCCACAGGACGTGTATTTTGAATGCCTGAGAAGAACGCAAATGGGTACTGGCCCGGTGTTGCAATAGTAGCATTTAAAAATCTGTTCCTCCCGAGATTTATGGTCTTCTGAAATAATACTATTAATTGGTGTTGTTGCATCATTGCTCAAATCTAGAGGAGTGTTGTTGCATCTTCGGTTTGGTGTTGTTGCATCAATAGTGGGGAACTAAAACCGTGAACTTCTTGCTTCTTGATGATGCTACATGTATACTAATGAGAGTTTCTTTAAATATAGACCGTGCGCTAACTTCACGTGTATGGTTATTGAAAAGCTCGTCCTAGAAATGGGTTTAAATTGGGGAAACAACATATCGTACGAAAATCTATAACCGGAAGTCTGGCCATCTTGATGCAACAACACGGTGTTGTTGCATCACGATACTCCCCAGTGGTTTGGTCCTTCATTGACAATGCTTTACAGATCTAGAATGATAGCATTTCATAATTGCTTCCTCAGACAATCTTGTCTAAAGACGTCACCCGATAAAAGTTCAAGGTCAAACTAATTCTGGATTCACTTAAAAGAAAACACCATTGTTTTTATGCCCACAAAGTACTCATTGTGAAAGATATGTCCAAAATCACTTGCCATACTGTACCTAATCCTTTAATAATTCTATTTTGCCAAGCGGGCAATTTGGTCCACTAAATCAAATGAAAATGTAGAAATAATGAGTGATTTTTATTGCCAATTAATATATGGACTTTCATACAATGTGCATACATACATACATACACATACATTGAAGTGTGTTTAATTTCTAAAAACGAATGTAATAATTGTGAATAACTTCCTTATTTGCTTAGCATAAGCAAGGGCGAACGTAATACGTGCCTCGTTCGTAATTTCATTGTGTTAAGCGTTGGCCTTTTATGGTATACTGTTCTATCAACCAATACCCTAAATGTGTTCGTTCGACTTCACTTCTTAAAAGAGAGCTTCGTCTTCATTACGGTTATGCGACTTCATAAAGTTTATAACTAGACTCTGCGTGCAGGGTAATCAACCAATGAAACTACTGTGTTTGCACAGCCCCAGATGTCGTGTCGTTTCGTTTAGTACACATACTAAGGCCCGGGTACTAAATAAGACCTTGGCCTAATGGTAAAATAAGGATATAAATATATGAAAAAGCAGAAAGTAATGTAAAAATTCAATCATATATTTTTACAATTCCTCCGGAACAAAATTTCATTCTTTGACTAAATGATCATTGTAAACACATCCTCCAAACGCATGGTCCCAGACATCATCCAAGTTCCTTCCTTCTTCAAAGAAGGAGGTACGAATTCTGGAGGCCTGTGTCCGGAGGATGGATAATCATCACGTGGGACTAATTAGTACTAATTACAAAGTCATTGTAAAATTCAAACTTAAGGAAAACCAATGTGGAAATAAAATCCATCCACTGATAAAATAATATGGAACCAGCTAACGTGGCATCAAACCAGTAAAGCCCCCTTAACTTTCAATGCACTTAATTATCCAATGGCCTAAAATCTATAGGTTTTACCTCTTTACGAGAGAGGTGTCCACTAAGACAGGATTTACTGTAAACTTACAATAATAATTTGAGCCCCAAATATATTTTGAAAAGAATATATACAAACATCATTGATTACCGAAATACGTTCTATGCCCGCACAAACATTGATTCTATCATCTTTTTATTGACCCATAGCAATGAACTGTACTAACGTTATTAACTATAGCGAGTTTAATTACAACATCGGATGTTCACGAAAAGGAACGTCAAGCCTAAATAAATCTGAGCGATGGTCCCTCTCGAAATGTTCAATGAACATATTTTTGTCTGCACTTCTAAAAGTACATTCGTGTCACTTGTTTCGGGGAACTGAAATTACAAAATGTGTGAATAATAAGTACAAAAACTCCTATAAAACAAAAACATACTAAATGCAATTTTTTCAAAAGCATAGACAAATTATCAAGCAACAGAACGTAAGAATACCATTGACAATTTCAAATTGTTATTTTTATCACGTCGAAAGCAAAAAGTGTACAATTTGCAGTCGTTCACCTAGTGATTACAAGACAAGTCCGTGTCAGAATAATGACCATTCGCCGTCGTTAACTCCAATTTGTTCATTTCGGACATTTATGGCAAATTGAAGGTACAGATACTTCAAATATTAATACGATCTTTAATGTAGTGGATAGTGTTCCACGTTATAAAATGATGTTTTTGTTTAAGCCCAGTTAAATGACACTAATGGAGATTTAGAGCATATTTTTGGCACTTTTTGTTATTTAATGCCGATAAATATGATCTATGATGGCACGATCGGCAAAATAGATACGTGGGTATGAAAAGGAATGTCTTAGGTACAAGTTAGTGTATGTATTTTACTAAACGAGTGAATTGTAAATCTTTTTGAGCCATTCTGATGAATGTCTCATCTCATTCCCCTTCAAAATGAGTCCAAATGGTTGTGAAAAACAAGTCCGGAACGATTTACATTGGGTAGTTATGCTCACCGTGTTTAGGCACGCAGTTTGGGAAATTCACATGAATGTAAGCACGCAGACCAGTTTGATAGGAAAAATTTAAATCACGTTCTATAAGGCTTGTAATCGTTTTACACACAAACTACATTACTTAAACCAGATGCACCAATCCTAGTATATCTTTCAGTATATACAAGCACAATGGCTGAATAAACGGCAAAGGACGATAAACAGACATAACTCTGACGCGGTACATTTTAACAGGAAAACTACTTAGGACCCTTATATTGAGATAACTAGGTTTACAACGGGGAACAAATTCAGTGGTACTTGTAACGTAACTTCGTCTCCACATAATGGTACTGTCTAATGAACGAAACTGACATTGCATTCCCAGTATTTTGGTCGTTCTAAATTCTTCGAGCCGTGTCCTCGCTACCTGCCAATGCCATTTTGAAATAGGCGCGCAGTTTATCAGTGAATCAAACTGCATGCCACAAGTTCACTGGTGATCCACTCGATTACGCTGGTTACCAAAACGAACCGTTTTTCGAAAAACCGTTTATGTAACTTAAGTGAGTAATTAAATCGACGATTCTATAACATATGATACTGATATACGTTTGTGAGAAAAAATGTCGTGGGGATTTCGCCTACAACGCGTGATATAAGGAAAAAAGAAAAATCGTACCATCGACGTTCCGACATTTTGTTACCAAAACGGTTCGTTTTGGTAACCAGCGTAATCGAGTGGATCACCATTGAAGTAGACATCGCACCGTGGGTCAGTTAAAAGAGAAGATCATCGTTAATACGTTACATTGAATGTGCCGTTTAATTATGGTGAAACGACAATTATCAACCACATATAGTTTGTCTTGTCTTGTACACTGTTTGTAGATATAATTTTATCATTTTACTTTCAAAAGCATACTGACAGGCGCAATCGGAATTACCTGAGATAATGTTATATTTTCGGTGAATAAGTGGGATTATATCTTTAAATCCTTAAGGTGAAAAATACAATAAATCAGTACAGAACCAAAGAAGTATAACGATTGATATCTGCTTTAGTGGTATTGCAAATTTCCGATTGTAACTGTAGATTCTTTTGATTGAGGATTTGCGCTGACTGGCATGCGTAGTTTTACTATATTAGCAGTTGCGAATTAAACATTGGAGTTTATTAAAGCTAGTGCCGCTCATAAACAAGCAACAATCATTGCGCACAGTTAGAATATCATGAGAAAAAACAAAACGTAAGAAAATATTTAATAGAATTTCAGGACGAAGGGTAAAATCGTCAATAAGCAAAGAGCGCACTTAGAAGTAAAATTTACTTTAAATGGTCGACAGCACACATCGCCCGTTATGCAGATTCTTATGTATAAATCTTCATTACACATCGAAATGTTGCCTTGCGTAAAACTTCTAAGCTAACACATCTTCTCATACAAAATTACACGAACGGCTTTACTCATTGTGATGGCAAATTCAGACGTGGACTCTCAGAATAATGATACAATTTGCAAATGTTTTCAGTGAGTGATGACATGATGGATTTGATAAGAGGATCCCTGCATATTCTGCTGACAAGTCTGATCCTGGCTTCTTGCGTGTATTCTCAGAGTAAGTAAAGAAATGGCTTTTTACTTTAACAATTGTGACACTTCTAGTCTCGAAACAATACAACGTACACAACTAAAAATGATTACATAAACATGGTGGGACAAAGAATGGGACACTCACATATATTCCTTTTAAAACGGTATATGAACCAAAGATCATGAAAATAAATGAAAAATAATGAGCATAGTTTTGATATTTGTAGATGTATGAATTTGATAATAAGGCAAATGATTATTTCATTATTTTTTTGCTTAACACAAGACATGTGACACAATACCGTCAAAAACAACTATTGACTTAAGAGAATTTTTGAATCACATTAGTACATCATTTTAGGTAAAATTATTTGATTTCGCTATTTTTCATAATTTTAATTACCTTTACCTGGCGTGTCGTACGTAATTGTGGAAAAGCCAAAAATTCAGAGTTTCTGTGCTAAAATGAACAAGGTTATGAAAATAAACAAGCACATCAGTAAATTATGATAAGTCAATGATATTGTCAATTACGTATGATAGCAAAAATTTCAAAAATCTGAGAGCTATTATTGCTCATAAAGATACATATGGAACATCTTTCGATTTCTTCATTGTTAATTAACAAAATATGTTATTTGGTGCTGAATTGCCACACCACATTATAAAACTGTCATAACTTCTGCAGCATAAAAGATATGTGACACATCACTCGAAAAATCCAAAATTCAAATTCAAGGATATGCGGTTTATAGGCTTATCTCCATAATATCAGAAACATCACTGGCTGTTGTTATTGTGCAATAATCGTGGGATAAATGAATATATCCTATGAAAGCACAATTTAATCCCCCATATATGTGATTTTAAATATGTTTATTAACAATTAAGCAGTGTCCCATTTTATGGCCCACCCTGTACTAGCTATGAAGTTGACGAGGCAACTGCCAAATTATGTTAAGGGATTAGGGGTTATGAAAATTATGACCAACATAAGTATAATTCCAACCTTCTTTAAAGGACTTCATTTATGCTAAAATTAATATAAAATACTTATACCCTGCTCCAAGGATGGCATAATTCTTTCTTTAGTTTAAAGTTTGCCCAGTTTATTTTGATTTGCAGCGCCTAATTTGGATCTTACCTCTGTTATTGCCTCGAGAGCCTCGAGTTTCAGAGGATTTCTAAATGTCTTGTACTTGTGTATTAAAGTAACATGAGACACTTTCTTGTATTTTTCTGTTCAATCGATATACGTTTAAAGAAGATCTGCATGTTTGGTGCCTTTTTTCATAGATCAATAAAATTCATACGGGTTACATGTAACTTATCAATGTGCCACGCCCACCTTCTCTTTGGATTGACTGTTGTTGAACTCATTCGAGTTAACTACTATTAAATGGGGCTATTTGCAGGATAAATGATTATCGGGACGTAAAAAATGTGTCTTCACAATAAATGATTGCGTTCCTAATCTTCATTTGGTCGCAGGTCATTAACTAAAGAGATGTAAATGTGGTCAAAAGAATTAAATGTTGTGAAAGAATTCTATGATTCTATCAAGCATACAATAATTTTCTTTGGTTATCTACATTAATCACGCGATTATTATATTCTATATAATAACAATCAGTAATAACTCTGATATTATAGAGAGATCTGTGAGAGATCAGTCTAATACTATTGATTAACGAATTTGAATTTCGCGCCTGATATTTTCAGTAAATATGAGATCATTTATTCGGTTTGAAATAACTTAAGGAAGTAGAAGGGACAGAGAGTGAACGATGTTGGAAGCAATTCTTTCGCATTCTCCGAACGCGGGTGTCCAGAAGTGATCCACAATTTCCTTCCGTCTCCTGTAAGAAAGAGAATGAATTGAGATCATCTGGTCTGAGTTATTGATGTAACATACAGAAATCTTCAAGTTCACTAAAATTAAAAAGGAGACTTTTTGGAACTTTTTCATTTTTATGCCACATGACCTAGACATTGAAGAATTATCCTGAAATAAAGTCAAAACTGTTGAACTTTTTAAGAAATAGGCCTAGAAAGTTGAGAAAGAGAAATATGTGATGAGTATCAGATTTGGTATTAGTCTGAAACCCAGGAGATTACGAATCTCTTCCCACAGCCTTGATCATTCTAGGCTAATTCATAATCTTTAATATCTGATTTGACGACGTTCCTCTTGACATATCTAATGAATTTTTGAGCCCTCATGATTTAAATGCTAGAATCAACCCATATTAGCATAGTAGAAGGTCGTTTTGGACTTGGGGGCCTAGCAGTATCAGTAAGTCTTGTAGCTCGACCTTCCAATCCAATCCAATCCTTAAACCAGTCTCAAAACTCAACCAAACTAGCCCTTTCTTTCGAACCACTCACCCAAATACAATTAGCAATGCTGGGGGGGGGGGGGCTCCAGGGATGGCCTGGTGTCTTAATGGGATTCGATCCAACAAAACATGTTTATAGAAAATCAGACCCGAAAATGCACTTGCTAGTTCATGGTTATTTATTAAATATTAAACAGTCAAAAGTTAGAAGTATTAAACAGTAGTTATAACACTAATAAATAATTCTTTATCGTCGAATATTGACAATAAATCGGGATAAATCTATGAAAATGACGGTTAGTTTACTTCATATCGCAGCAAGGAGGATTGGCTCCCAGAGTGCACCACCGATATTCTGTCCCATATATGGGTATGTCGTAATACAAAATTCGAATTCAAACAGCCGCCATTTTGTTCACTTCAACATTTAAATCGTGAATTTTGGTCTTATTTCCAAACGAAAAATTCCAAAACTCACAAGAAATGATCGAGATATTGGTTCGAATCTTTTGAACTGTTTATTTTGAATTTATAGTCGGTTTTAATTTCAGAAAATAACGACATTTCGACGTTTTCATTGTTGGAAAATATCGAGTTTCGATCCTGGGAGCCAATCCTCCTTGATATCGCAGCAGGAAAATGGCTATATATAAAATACCATGTTTAATGACTCCATTCCTTCGCAAACCATCAGTTGAGCTAAATCACGGACTGACTGTGTAAATCCATGGCTAAATTGAGATGCAGGACGCTCAATGCCATCATAGATATTTCATCTCAGAACATTCTCAGATGATAATAGGCCCTAGCACTGCAGACGTTCCTTTGATTCAGATAAAGAGACCTCGTTGTGTGCCTCGGAGAAAGTTCAGGTTGACACAATATATAATGACTTAGCTTCTAGCCTCGATTTTCAATTTTTGATTCTTAAAAGTAGTATACAGGGTGGTCCAAAAAGTGAACCCTTGCAACAAGGGGGGCCAGCAAGCTATATTTCTGTTATTACCCACACTAATAGGCAAATATTCTTACATCTTTGAGAGGAATATCTTAAGTTTTTGTGGATACCATAAAGGTCCTCAGTCATAAATCCAGCAGAGATTATATGGCATCAACAAACATGCCTGGTTTCTGAATGACGCTTCATGGGTTCTGGATGACTGCTGCTAGCAATGTTGAAGTTGTTCATTGCTCTATCCAGCATATCAGGGGGTAATTTGTATTTCTAATGCATTTTCTTTATTTTCAAGAAAACGTTTTTTCTAAAGTTTTTCGAGCAGTGAGCAGTGTCAAGAAAAAAGTTTTTTCTAAAGTTTTTCGAGCAGTGAACAACTTCACTGCTTTATCCAGCATATCAAGGGTATTTCGTATTTCTAATGCATTTTTAGAAAAAAGTTGTTTCTGAAGTTTAACGAGTAGTAAATAACTTCAACATTGCTTTGCAGCAGTCATGCATCCAGAACAGCATGAATTGAAGACATCATCCAGAAATCAAGCTTATCTGTTGGTGCCATGTAACTTCTGTTAGATTTAAGACTGAGTGACCTTTATGGTACCCACAACCTTCCTCTTAAACATGTAAGAATATTAGCCCATCAATATAAGTAATGATTGAGATATAGCTTGCTGCAAGGGTTCACTTTTTAGCACCCTGTATTATTATTGAATACGATCAAAATGAAAGGGATGATCAAAGACACCGGTGTCACACTACACGAACCGTCCCAGCAATTTCTGAAATAACCTTGACAGCAATGATGGAATATTGAATCTTCTAGATAAAATGCTCAATGCGCCAGTCGTTTGTGAATGTCGCATTGCTTTGTCGTTCTTTGCAAAGACGTGCCAAATCCTGATGGACGTTTTGAAACGTGTCAGTCCAGACGTCATGTATAGACCGTTCATTTAATAAATTAGTTGCATTGTGATAAATATCAAGTAGTTTCCACACTCACTGGTTATAAAGACATTAACAAAATAGATGAACTTCCGCCGGAGGAATATTTTACTCTAATAATTTTCATCAACAGAGAGGTTGATTTGTCTCCAAATATTTTCACCCGAATGTTAATAGTAACATCCAGTTATAGTCTTGCTCAAAGACTGTATCCACCCCCCCCCCGTCACCTCCTAGAGAGAAGGATAAAGGGGGGGGGAGTACAGGGTCTTTTAAGCAAGACTAATCCAGTTACTGAAAAGCTAGAAAATATGTCCAGCAGCTCTTATAATTGAGTGAGATTTCCCTCACTTCAGCAACCAGGACGTTATCTCACCCTATGCAGACAGAGCCTGTGGGAAATATTGGGTGCGGCGCAAATGAGCGGAGGGTGCGGAGCTAACGGTCATTTTTGAATTTAAAATTGGGATATTTCTGAAACTAAGCCGTTTTGGGACTTCAAATATACCAAGATATGTGTATTTGACACCAAATATCAATAAAATTGTGAAAATAGTAGTGCAATTCATTTTATAGCGACGCAGTATGCCTTAAACATTTCCCAGACCTATATATTTTGAGACTATCCTTTTAATACTGCGTCCCCAGCATTCATAAAAAATGGTGTTCAAGATACACTACCCATGCAAATTATTTTTGCATCTTGGAAGCCAGGCAGTATCTGTGTGATTTTATAAAAATTCGGAAATGTTCTTCAGATATGAGCCCCCTCTAAATATTGGGTGCGGA